CCTTCTATAGGCATTTTCTTTGTGTTTACCACTGGGATTACATAAAACATCTTCTAGTTATAGCACTATTTTAAACTAACAACAACTTTAACTACATAGAAAAAAAATCTACTCCTTTACATTCACCCTCTCTTTATGTTACTGTCCAAATTACACATTTTTATATTTTGCATCTATCATCATATTTTACAGTAATTTTATGCCTGTATATTTTAAATTCCATGCCAGAAATCAAAGTGATTTATCCACCACAATTACAGTATTACAATATTCTATATTTTGTCTATAAACTTAACTTTACCAGAGAGCTTTTAATTTTTTTATGCTTTGGTGTTGTTTTCTAGTGTGTTTGTTTCAACTGAAAGAACTCTCAGCAATTCATGTAAGACAAGGTTAGTGGTTATGAACTCCTTCAGTTTTTGTTTATATAATGAGGTCTCTATTTCTTCTTCATTTTTTGAAGTTGGTATGCCAAATATAGTATTCTAGGTTGGTGAGTTGTTTTCTTTTTTCTTTTGGCACTTTGAGTATACCATCCCACTCCCTTCTAGTCTGCCATGCTTCAGCTAAAAAACCTGCTGACAATCTTATGGGGATTTCCTTGCAGGTGATAAAAACTTTTCTTCTTGATGCTTTCAAGGTTTTCTTTTTGTCTTTGACTTTTGATGGTTTGATTATAATGTGTCTATGAGCTTCTTTGGATTCATATTATTGGACTTATTTAAGCTTCTTGAATTTTAATTTTCATTTCTTTCCAATTTAGGAAATTTTTGGCCATTATTTCTTCAAGCAAGCTCTCCAGTCCTCTCATTCTCATTCATTCTCTCCCTCCCTCCCTCCCTCTCGCTCGCTCTCTCATCTCAAATTCACATAATGTATATGTCAGTCCACTTGAATGTGTTTGTAAGGCTCTTAGGCCCTCTTCTTTTTGTTCCTCTGACTCAATAATTTCAAGTGACCTACCTTCCAGTTCACGGACTCTTTCTTCTGCTTGGCCAAGTCTGTTGTTGATACTCTCTAATGAATTTTTCAAATCAATTATCATAGTATCATATTCTTCAGATCTAGAAGTGTTTCTCTTTAATAATTTTGAACTCTGTTGGTACTCTCATTTTGTTCATGTATCATTTCCCTAATTTCATTTAGTTTTCTATATGTATTCTTTAATATATTGATTTTTAAAAGATGATTATTTTGAACTCTTTGTTAGGTAATACACAGATTTCTGTTTCTTTAAACCTTTTCCCATTTAGGCTAAAAAAGTGCAGCCCACTTCTAGTGCTCCTTTAATTTTACATATACATGCTTTTTGAGGATGAAGCAAATCTGACTGGTTTTCAATATTAAAATAAAATATGGACACTGTTCTTGGAGTTATTTCTAAACAAAACTAACATCAGAATAATCTATTTCAGAAAAATCAAATTCTTCAAATGATTCATTGGCCAACAACTGTACAAAAATGATGTTAACATCACACATAGGAATGCTATGTTTTTTAGGATATGACATTTTCAGTGATCGAGAATTACTATATTTTGTAAATGGAAATATCACTACTAAAACCAGAATGCTATAAATAGAATGATGTTTCTTTTGTTTCCAAAGTCAATATACTAGAATGATGCAAAAATAATAATAAAAGTGAGATATTTTGAGGCAAAGTTATCTTGGCATAAATGTTCTAGCTGCAAGTGCTGCCAGTGAGTATTCTTGGGGCAAATGGGGAAAAGGTAAAATCAGTTACCGGATTTTTTATTTTTTCATCTCTTTTATTGGGCCATGTTTCCCTGTCTCTTTGTATGCTTTACTTTTGTTGAATTTAACATGAAAAAGTAGCCACATCCTTAGGGATTGACTTTGTACAGAGGATATTCTTCATAAATCAGCCTCTAAGAGCCTCTCAAAACTTTCATGGGAATGTCTTCTCTGGGCTTGTGCATGTAATTCCTAACTAGTGAAGCTTTCCAGTTTCTTTTTTAGGAACTTGTAGTATCTTACTGCCTCTTGTATCTCTCTGGAATACTAGGTTCTCTGATGCTACAAGCCACTGAAATATATTTTGCTCTCAGTGGCACTCAGGTATGCAGAGTATGCGAGTTCTCTAACAGATGATACAGAGACTGGTCTCTTGAGCAGCCACTGTAAATCCAGAACATTGGGTATATGTTCCACTCTTCTCTTTCCACCACAATGAAGCCATGAGTTGCACTTTTACTCCTAATTGTGAGCTGTGCCAGCTTGGAAAAAGGACAGATATGGTTAAAATGCTTTTTTTTTTTTTTTTTTTTTCCTGAGACAGAGTGTTGCTGTGTCACCCAGGATGGAGTGCAGTGGTGCGATCTCAACTCACTGCAACGTTTGCCTCCAACTTTTGCCTCAAGTAATTCTGCCCTACCCTCCCAAGTAGCTGGGACTGCAGGCACGTGACACCACACCTGGCTAAGTTTTTGTATTTTTAGTAGAGACGGGGTTTTACCGTGTTAGCCAGTATGGTCTTGATCTCCTGAACTTGTGATCCACCCACCTCAGCCTCCCAAAGTGCTGGGATTACAGGCGTGAGCCACTGCACCCAGGTGCCACTACTTTTCTTACCCATTTCAATGTGAACATTCTTGGTTTTGACATTGTCTGGGGTACTGTGACTTCCTAAATGGTTTCTGAAGTTGTCATGTCTTTTTGGACCATATATTGTTGTAAAGTGAGTGTGTCTGTGGAGAACAAGATCTAGGGCTTCTTATTCTGTCACCTTGTTGATGTCACTCTCCATTAATTCTTTTTTATAGATTTTTTTCTGTCTTTTTACTTTCAAATTATCTATGGTGTTATATTTGAAGTGAGTGTATTGCAGATAGCATATAGTTAGGGATTCAGAATATCATATAAATTTTTTTCTGCTTTTTTTCATGTTTCCTCTTTTTTTGCCTTCCTGTTACTTGAATTATTATAGTGCTTCCATTTTGATGCATCAGTAGTGTTTTTAAGTGTACCTCTGCATAATTTTTAAAAAGTTTTTTTTAGGCATTACATTGTATCACAACTTATCACATTCTACCAGTGTCATCCTATTACCAGTTCAAGAAATATATAAAAGCCTTAACACCCTTCAAATTATTGTACCCTTTCCCATTTATAATTGTGCTAAATATTTTCTCTATATACATTTACAACTATCCCAGACAATGTGATTATAGTAACATCAGACACTGTTACTATAATCTTTGCTTCAACCATAAAATATACTTTTGAAAATACAAGACATGAAAAGCCTATTTTATTTATCCATACTTTTGTTTCTGCATTATTTCTTATTGATGAACCAAGATTCCTTCTTTTTTTCATTTCCTGTGTACGGAACTTCTTTATATACTTTTTAAGGGTTAATTTGGTGTTGACAAATTCTCTTAGTTTATTTCATCTAAAAATGATGGATTTTGATCTTAATTTTGCCTTAATTCTTGAAGGATATTTTCATTGGGTATAGGATTCAGGGTTGATAGATCTTTTCTTTCAGTACTACAAAAATATTCATTTTCCTTTTGGCAGGCAGGGTTTCTGATGAGAAATCTGCTGTCATTCAAATTGGTTTGGCCGTATAGGTTAGATGTCATTTCTCTATTGTGGCTTTCAATATTATTTTTATTTTAGTATTTACTATTCAGAAGTTTGATGATAATGTATATTGGTATAGATTTATTGGGATTTGCTCAGCTTCTGGAATCTGAAAATTCATGTGGTTTTGCTAAATTTGATAAGTTTTCAGCCATTATTTCCTCAATGCTTTTCAGTCCCACCCTCTTTCTTCTCTCCTTCCTCATTTATTTCTGGTGACACAGGAAAGGGGATGGGGAGTGGTAGATACTCATTACTGCTGGGCAGTGGAGAGAATTCTGGCTCCCCACAACACCACAGGGGAGGGGTTTCACCTAGCATGGTACAAGGCCCCAGCTCCCTACTCTGCTTTATCTGACACTCTAGGGAAGTTGGGCTATCTAGCCTACCCTGATAAGGGTGAAAGTCTACACTCCTCACTTGGCCTTTACTGGAGTGAGTTGGGGTGGGGCCACAGTTGTGTGTGTGGGAGGATGGTGTGTGTCTGTGTGTGTGTGTGTGTGTGTGAGAGAGAGAGAGAGAGAGAGAGAGAGTATGTGTGTGTGTTGTCAAACCCAAATAGAAAGATTATTTTCTAAATGTTTTCTGTTTTGATACACTGCCCCTTTCTTCATCCCATGGTTAAAGAGAGCTAGATTTGGTTGGGATTTTTCATCCCAACACAGTTCTATGTTACTAACTTCTTTAGCTCTAATTCTTGGATATATGAGGCAGAAAGAAAAGTTAGGGAACTGACTTCCATGCTATTCTTTAAGGCGTAGGAGTCCTACCTGGTCTGACACTTCACATTTCCCAGTTATCTTATGTTTGTCTTATACATAATATCCAGAGTTTTTAGTTGTTTAGTGGGAAGAATAGGAAAAAGTATATTGACTCTATTTTCCCATTAGCAGATCCCTTATTATCTTTGAAATCTTATATTTATAATTAGGTATATCTCTATTTTTGTTCCTAATATTAAAATATCAAGTGGGTTATCATACAAAGAAGTGTTATTTCTGGTGCTGTAAATTTTGAGGAATATTTTAAATAACCACCTTGTACAGATACAAAGCAGTGATTCCTGAATTTGGCAAAAATAGATAAATGTTTATAAGGGCCTTTGTAAAGCTAATATTCTGTGATTTCCAATGAAGGCTAATATCTCATGACTTCCCCCTTTGACATTCTCCTGGTAATACAATCTATGCTTTCTTTTTTTGTTATTATGTTTCCAGTGGTTTGATTATATCTTCTGTCAAGATTAGAATCTTTGGATTGTTATTTCTTATGTTTTTACTTTTACTTAAACTATTATTCTGCATGGAATACAATTATGGAAAAGTATCAAGACTCAGTAAATATCTTTTTGTTGATGAACTAATAACTCACAAAACACATCTACTTACCCAGTAATAATAATTTCTGGATATGTTTGTGCTCCAAGGTTCCAAGCTCCTCCACTAATTGGCCACTCCTAAATAGATTATCCAGAAAGAATATATATATATAGATGCGCATATATGTGTGTGTGTGTATATATATATAGTTCAAATTGCTTAGATTTTAGTTTAAATGACTTAGAAATTTAAAATAAAAATATCTTAAAATGATAAAAAGTTCACTTAAACGTAAATAACTGTAAAATAATCAAGAATGAAGTGTGCAGCTGTCTTTTAATTCTTTCATTGAACAAACACCTCTAAATGTACAACTCCATCTTCCTTAAAAATATGGATTTTAACCAATCTTAACATTTATATAAACAAATCAAAGAAGTGTTTTTAATTGTACAAATAAAGTGTTGCTACATGTGTCATATAGTATGTGTACCACCAAACTACTGTGGTGCCATTTAACATAGAATCTATGTAAATAGCATCTCTCGAAGTTATCCATACCAACAGCCCTGGGAAAATAACAGAAATCATAATAGATGATCTGTTACAATTGTAAATATTTGAATCTTGCATAACTATAACAAAAATTCTAAAATGTTATTTAACAAATGACTTTTAATAATTATATGTCCTAAACCATTAATTTAATTATAAACTAAGAAGACCTGAGTCTTTTTATTTTCTTAAAACATAATCTTTCATCTAAAATAAAGGTTACATCTTATGACTCAAATATACATTAAAGTACATACTTAGTATATAAATATATATAATAGATAAGTATATCAATATATAATTATATACCTAGTATATAAGAAATTTATATTTCTATAGGCTTAAAGCTATGTAGCATTTAGGAAATTTGAATTTAAGAAGTTATGTCTTTAATAGATGTTGGCTTATAACTTAAAAAGAATTTAGTTCAAGTCCTCCTATATGGAATGTCAGAAAATAAAGCAATGGGAAAAAGTATAAACATGTGATATGAATACAAGAAAAGTTATTTATAATTTATACTTTTACCTTATTACTGTATCCTTGTTTTTTATGCTTGACTCCTATAGAATACAGTACTAGAATCAAATCCGGAGGACAATCAGCAAAGTATGCTGTGCATGTAACTGGTGATTCATGAATGTCCATGGGATATGGATTTTCAAAGATCGGAAAACTAATAGATAAAGACAATATATCAGTGTTATTTTACAAAGATAAAATAAAAAATCATTTTGATAAAGCCCTAAAATGTCTCTAAATATTTACTAAAAATTTCACTTGTTTTTTTTTTCAGTATCATAAAATAAGGATTGTATGAACAAAAATGCTTTTTTTATAATAGCAATTTATAAAATGTAATATTAATGCTAGTAAAATTTTACTCAAACTCAAAATTTACTTTTCATAATTCCAACATTCCACAGTGGCACTGCTTTGCTAATATAGATACAATGAATTCTATTAATCTGAAACTATTATATGCCAAGTTGACTTAGTTAATTCATTAAAACTTATATAAACTAAGCACTTTACCTACATACAATGGTAAATATTTATTTAGTATCCTTATAAATATTAATATATAAGTAAATTTTGACTTTTTTCAATGGGAGTGCTATGGTTTGGATGTTTGTCCCCTCCAAACCTCATCTTCAAATTTAGTCCCCAGTGTTGGAGGTGGAGCCTAATGAGAGGTGTTTGGCTTATGGGGGCAGATCCCTCATGAATTGATTAATATCCTGTCTTGGAGATGAATGAATTCTCCCTTTTTGTTCCTTTGAGAGCTGGTTGTTAAAAAGAGCCTGGAGCCTCCTCCTTCTCTCTAGTTTCTTCTTTAATCATGTAATATCTGCACACACCAGCTCAGCTCCCCTTCACTTTTCACCATGAGAGAAAACAGCTGAAGTTCTCACCACATACAGATGCCCAATCTTGTAAACAAAATAAACTTTTTAAAAATAAATAAATAAATTACCAACTTCAGGTATTCCTTTATAGCAACACAAAACAGAGTAAAACAGAAAATTAGTACTGAGGAGCGGGTGTTGTTATAAAGATACCTGAAATTGTGGAAGCACTTTTGAAATGCGTGATGGACAGAGGTTGGAGGAGTTTGGAGAGCTCACAAGAAGATAAAAAGATAAGGGAAAGTTTGGAACTTCTTAGAGAGATTGGTTAAGTAGTTGTGACCAAAATACTGACAGAAATGTAGGCAGAAAAGGCCGTGCTGATGAGGTCTCAGACAGAAATTAGGAACTTACTGGGAACTGTAGCAAAGATCCCCATTGTTGTACCATAGCAAAGAACCTGGTTGCATTGGTGCACTGTAGCAAAAATTTGGCTGCACTGTGGAAGTTTAACCTTAAGAATGATGACATAGAGTATCTGACAGAAAAATATTCTAAGCAGCAAAGTGCTCAATAAGTGGCATTATTACTTTTAACTACTTACACTAAATTATGTCCACAGTGGAATCACCTAAAGGAAAAATTTATAATTAAAAGGGAAGCGGAGCATTAACATCTGAAAAATTTGCAGCCTGGCCATGTGGTAGAAAAGAAGAGTGTTTTCAGGGATAAATACAAGCAACTACTTGCTAAAGAGATTAGCATGACCAGTAAGGGAGCAAAGTACTAACAGTCCAGACAATAGAAAAAAGGCATTTCAGAAATCTTTGAGGCCACCTATCCCATCACAGTCCCAGGAGCCTAGGAGAACAGAACAGTTTTGGGAGACAGGCCCAGGGGACCACTGCCCTGTGCTCCTTTGGGATGCTGTTCCTTACATCCCAACAGCTCCAGCTCCCACTGTGGCTCAGATGGCCCCAGCTACTACTGGGGTTGCTGCTCTAGAAGGCACAAGCGATAAGCCTTGGTGGCATCCACATGGTGTTAAGTCTGCAGACACCCAGAACACAAGAGCCATGGAGGCTTGGCAGCTGTCCCCTGGATTTCAGAGAACATATCAAAAAGCCTAGGTGCCCAGGCTGAAACCTGTCACATAGGCAGAGCCACCAGCAGTGTGCAACCTCAGTCTGAAAAAGCCTCAGACATTCAACTCCAATATATTAAAGCAGCCACATGGGCTATATGCAGCAAAAACATGGGGACAGGACTACCAAGGCCTTGGGAGCCCACCCCTTGCACCAGTGTTTCCAGGATGCAGGACATGGAGACAAAGAAGATTATTTTGGAGATTTAAGGTTTGATATATACTCTGCCATGTTTTAAAGCTGCATTGGACTTGCTATGCTTTTATACTGGAATGGAAATGTTTACCCAGCACCTATACAACCATTGTTACCTTAGAAGTAAAGAACTTCTTTGGGAGGCCGAGGCGGGCGGATCACTAGGTCAAGAGATCGAGACCATCCTGGCCAACATGGTGAAACCCCGTCTCTACTAAAAATACAAAAAAATTGACTAGGTGTGGTGGCGTGCGCCTGTAGTCCCAACTACTTGGGAGGCTGAGGCAGGAGAATTGCTTGAACCCGGGAGGCGGAGGTTGCAGTGAGCCGAGGTCACGCCACTGCACTCCAGCCTGGCGCCTGGTGAGGGAGTGAGACTGTCAAAAAAAAAAAAAAAAAAAAAAAAAAAAAAGAAGTAAAGAACTTGTTTTATGTTTTATAGGCTTACAGCTGGAAATAACTTACCTTGAGTCTCAGATGAGACTTTGGACTTTGAACTTTTGAATGGATGTTAAAATGAATTAAAACTTTTGACACTATTAGAAAGGAATGATTATATCTTATATGTGAAGACATGAGTTTTGGGGACTTGGGAAGAATACTAGGATTGGGATGATTTTTCCCTTCACAGGGGCAGATTCCTCATGAATAGATTAACATCTTCCCTCAGGGATGAGTTCCCACTCTTAGTTCCCTTGAGAGCTGGTTGTTTAAAAGAGCCTGAAATCTGCCCCTTCTCTCTCTTGCTTTCTTCTCACCATGTGATTTCTGCACATTCTGACTTTCCTTCACCTTCTGCCATGAGTAGAAACAGCCTGAGACCCTCAACAGATGCAGACACCCAATCTTGGACTTTCCAGATATCAGAATTGTGAGCTAAACAAAACATTTTTCTTCATAAATCGTCTAGCCTTGAGGATTCTTTTAGAATAATATAAAAAGGACTGAGACAAAGAGGTAATATATGGGAAACTTTTAAATTTTTTGCAGGTATAATGGAAAGATGTGTGTCATATAATTAGGTTTGTGTGTATGTGACTGTGTATATCTTAAAGATCATTTCCTACATGAACTAGAGAACATAGATGGAATGAAGACTTATGGACATAATAAATTTCATATTCTCAAACCTACTATAACTTAAAAAGGAAATAAGTATAGAATCAAATTTAAAATTCCTGTAGCTACTTAGAACATCATATGTACCAGGCACTGTGCTAAGAGGAAATTAGTATTATTCTATGCTATATCTGTTCCAAGTCTGTGTCATCATATAATTTCTGACACAATGTGTTTTTTTTTGTTTGTTTGTTTTTTAGGATAGGAGGTAGCTGTTACAGATACAATTTTCTATTTGCTGTTGCTTAGAGATTGCCACATTATTATGTTTTTTGCCATATTATGAGAAACTTAATTTAAAAATTAGGGATTTAGTCCAATCTCCAGAGAATATGGGGTGTGTGTGTGTGTGTGTGTGTGTGTGTGTGTGTTTTGGCAGGAGCTCTCTTTCTACCAATCTGAAATATTGCAGACAGTATCTCAAATAAGAATAGTTATATATGCAAAATCAGGTTAAAGAAACAACTCATGTTTAGTTAAGTGACAAGTAGGTTAAACTAGATGTACCAGAGGTTAAACTAGATATATCAGAGATTCTCTGTTTCAGAGTAGAAATTATTAACATTCCTAAGATTAAAGAGTTGTAAGATTAATGTCTTCCCTGCCCTTGAGATCCTGGTCTTCCGTGTTGTCTGCTGCCATAGTGCAAATGGATCCCCTTGAAGACCAGGCCTACAATTTAGAATTTGATAACAGCAAGAGGTAACAATAATAGGCTCCTGAGAAAGTGAAATATCATGGAAATGTCTGAGAAAAATTATTTTAGTACATTGGCAAGATTAGGCAAAAAGATATTAAAAAGAGAAATAACTAAATTTACTACAGGAATTTAGACATAAAAGTATAACTGATTATTGTGAAAATAGAAATGAAGATATGAATCCAAGAAATCAAGAACAGAAATAATTTGTAAACCCTAATGCTTGCCTTTGTGTTGGGGATCAAATGGAAGGACAAAGATAAAAAGAAAAAAAATTGAAAAGGGTTCCAAAGTTACAACTTATTTGACATTCAACATACCTGAGAGGTAACCATTTGGAGGGAAAGAGAACATACTCAGTTTTTGACATGTTAAATTTCCTGTAATAGCCAATGAACTGGGAATGCCACAGAGATTTTACATACTAAAGATGGTAAAATGTTAGATAAAAACTTGTAAACAAAATATTAATTCACATATATAGGATAATGAAAAGCACAAGAATGTATGTATATATAAAATGGTGACTTTTCTGTTATGCATACTGTATCAGAATAAAACAAAAATTAAATGAAAGAATATATACTAAAGAAAATGAACATGAAAGGTAAAGTATAATGGGCCTGCAAGGATGTTAGATACTTAGACTAAGTATGAGTAACCAACAAATATGATGTAGAAAGAAAAGTTGAGTATCAATGAGATTGGAAGAGTATATTTTAGTAAGACTTATGTTAAAACTTCTTACAGGAATAAGCATAAATCCTTACATCTACACAAAAAGTGTAATGTTGATAAATAGGGCAGCCAAGCAGAATTCCCAGTTATGATGATTTTATGGCCCAAATCCTACATCCCTTTCAAAATACTGAGAATAATATCTGCAAATTAGTATGAGGAAGAACCCTGGATCTTACATTTACAAATGATGTGGAAAGTAGAATTCAGACTGATTTATTCAATAAGAATTTATTAAGAGCCTACTCTATGTGGAAACAGAGCCCCTCCTTCATGGAGTCTATAGCCAAGTGGGGAGACAATCTTTAAGCAACAGCAAATAGAAAATTGTATCTGTGTCAAAAGCTATGACGAGAGAAATGTGGGGACTATGAGAGCCCACACGAGGATATGTGACCAAATTATATAGTTAATGAAATATTTTATTAAATAAGGAAGTGATACCTGGCTTGAGAATATTACAGATAAGATGTTAATAAGGAGAAAAAAATGAAGGGAAGGTTATTCCAGGCAGAGGAGAGATAACTTACAAAATTGTGTCATAAATATAAGAGGCTAAAAGATCAGTAGGTGAAGAACATATAATGATGGAAATCAGTTTCATGCTATTACCATTATAATAAAAATGTATAGTTGGAAAATTTTTACTGACAATGTAAAGGAGTGTGACCACCACTATAATAGCAGTATTCTACACTTGTTTCAATTGCCTGTAACATAATGAAAAAAAAAATGTAAAAGAAGTCTCCTGTCTTCTCTGCCCCTGACAGGATCCTGGTCTTCTGTGTTGTTTGCTGCTGTAGTACAATAATATTTTTATCATGTGTCATTTTCCATTACTCAGCTATCACACTGTACAAGTTTTCATAATGATAGCTTTTCTTTAAGGAAACAACAGAAATGTGATCAATTTTATGTGTCCTGAATCTCCAGTGCTTCTCTCCAAACATCGGGTGCTGATGCCTTTAAGTTGTCTTACAATTTTCTCAGTGTTTCCCAAATTCTCCTGGTTTCATTTTCACCATTAAATCAAAGTGCATTTCTGTAATTCTAGCAAACCAATATTCACATAAAGAATATTTCCTATCTAAAGAATACAAATGCCAATTATCTAAAATAAAGAGTTTAAAAGTGTTAATCTGTATATGGATAACTTACTTGCTTTGTGTCAGATCAACTACAATAAGATCTTTCTCCAGAAGTACTACAACAGCATAGGGTTCTTGAAATTCTACAAGTAAAAATAAAAAATGAAAAGTTTTCATACTGAATATTTTATAAAATCAGCAAAATTGCATTTCTTTTATCTCTATACAAATACTATTTAAACTATGTGAGAAGATCAAACTGTAAGTCAAAGTAAGATGTAACAAACTGCACTTAAAAATATGCTGTTTCTCAAATTTAATATTAAGATCACTAAAAAGAGCAAGAAAAAATTAAAAGTAGCATAGTATAGAGTTAAATATATCTCAATAATTATGGAGTGGTGATAATATTGGATTATGTGAAGACAGTGAATCTGTCACCTGATCTCACAAACATTTATCTTATTCTTCCATACCTTTGTATTTTAGATCTGATATTATGCCTACAAGGAAATTGTACTGAGGGAATAGTATCTCTGCTTCTCTGGGGTATGACATATATTCACATCTGTATAAGAGTAACACTGCTTATAATTAAAAGTTTACTTTCAATTCAATATAATTTGAAATATATTTATAGATTGTGTAACCACATCAGATCAATCCAGTTCAAGTTTTACATAACAAAGCTCTTCAGTTGCCATGGACACCCAGATTGAAGGCCACATAACCTGAACATGCCCAGATAAACCAAGCATGCAACCACAGGTAGAAACTAAGTGCCCAGAACAAGGAACAGGGACTAAAATTAGGAAGCATACATTGCATGCCAGGCTGCAGGATCCAATCAGATAGAGCCCTGGTATCACCCCAGGGAAAAATCCAGTCAGAGCACACCTCCTAGCATCATCCTATGGCAAGAGCCAATCAGATCATGTCTCCTCATTACCCTCTGAATATAAAACCTTCCCTAATCCCCAGCTTGGGGAGACAGTTTTGAGATCTGTCTCTTTGCCAGTTCACTCACAATAAACCTTTCTTGCTGCAAAAACCTGGTGCTTCAGTGTTTGGCTTTCCATTGTGCATGAGCAAAGAGACCCAGTTTAGTTCAATAACGAAGTTGGTGAACCAGATGGAACTTCTACAAATCCTTTCAGGGCAGTTTTGCCTGTGGCTCACCAGCTCCGTATCAGGGATGGGCTCCACTTGAGGGTCTGAGCAGCTGTCCAGGTGTTTTACTTGGTGATTTGCTCTTGGTTCCTGTCTCCCCAGCATGGCCCTGATGACTTTTGGTGCTTTGATTTTCATTTTTGCAGCAAAGAAAAGTTTTAAATTTTGGAACATATTTTTTTCCTCTGTTTTATTTTTATTTTTTGGTGAATTAATCTCTGTGCAAGTGACCAACTCTCAGCTCCTTTCTTATCAACTTCCACTAGGGAGACTTGTCAACCTCTACAAGGGGGCCTAAGTTAGGGATTTCAACTTCGATTAAAAGGAGAATAAGGAGATATGCTCATGTGGCACTTTTCATTATAAATTTGACTAGGAACTTGACTGGGAACTTGGAACTTGGATGTGTACATGTATACATGTTAAGTTTAGGGTTTGTCTAGTCACTTGTTTAATGTTGTTAAGACCACTTAGCAAACCCTGAACAAGCTGCCAGTGGCAGCAAAGGAGGCCTGATTCAGGGTTGCTGTCTATTCCAATCAAATAGACTGAGCAAATATTTGCTTGATTATCAGCTGGAGGTCAATCTTCCCCATCTAGAATGGATTAAAGATGTCTGAAGCTTACAGAGACAAGTTTGAGCCTTGTCTTTTTGCTCTCATTGAGGGGATCAAACTCAGAGTCCAAAATGCTGTGCTTTGTCTTATTTAATTGGCTGGTTCTGTTTCTGTTTGTATATTTGTATTCAGATATGCATAGTAATATCTGGCTTAAGCAGTGGTTAGTACTTTGATGGCACAGAAACAGCCTAATTAGAAAATTATTTAATTGAGGGACTACCTTGCTCCCTTCAGCCCTTTTAGGTACTCCTAGGTGACTAGGAGATACCAGACCCATTGGTGATTCACTGGGAAGGAATCTCCATAAGCACCACATTGCAGACCCACAATATATATATCTCTCCTTAGAGCAGGGCCTTGCTCTAGTCATCTGAGATAAACCTCCAAGCAAAATGGGGAATGTTAATTGTAGCAGGTCTCCAGCAGCACAAGCCATAATGGTACAACAGTGGCCAAAGAAAATGCGTCTTCCTTTCTTGAGGTCTTTAGAGCCTTCAGGCAATACACTGACATTGACCCTGAACACCCAGGTAACCTGAGAGTTTTATCAGTCACAGCATCCCTGGTATAAGAGGAAACCTACAAAAAGTAGAAAAAGTGTTGGGAATATCAATATCTCAAGTGGTCAAGATTGCCTTTAAGGTATTGTCTTGTTCAAGTCCAAAACGGGCAAAAGCTATGCGACATGAGACAATAAGCAATGTTGCTTGCTGTGGCTGTTGGCCACAACCAACCAAGATGCAAGATAGTGCATGGTAGCCAAAAATTAATGGTCATGGGTAAGACCCCTGGAACCACACTGCTAGCCAAATGGCTGTACACTCTTGAGGCCATGATGTGCATATTGTAAACAAGAGAACCATTGGAAATGGGAGTGCCCTAACCATCCCAGGCAGGTGGAGGAAGAAGCTGTCCATCAGTCAGCCCACCAGATACCACAGTTTTCTGATAGTGATTAAAAATAATGGGACTGGGGATCTTCTATGATCTAAGAATCCTGGGTAATAACTAATATAGAAAAGAGACTTATGGGCTTTCTAATTGACAATAGAGCTAGCCTTCTTCCACAAGCTCCTCTCTTCCTGCTGCTCTGCCCCACTACTTTGCTGCTCTGGTTTCTCTAAAATTCAGTAAGGGGTTTCAGCCATGTGGAACAGGTAAATTTAAGCTAAAATTGTTAGTTTGACAGAGACGAAGTTTGAATCTAACTGTCCCTTTTAACTAGTGAGTTATGGCTGACATAGCTAAGGCTTTAAAAATTAAAGCTACGTTATCATTATTTGCAGCTGCTTGAATGTACAAGTCTGGTTGTATTTATCTATGGTACCAAATTGGCTTATAAATAGAGGAGTACTCATAAATTAAGCAAGTAAGACCAGGCATTTGTCAAGTACACGTGACTTAGAAATCTTTTGGCAAATGGGACTAGTCTAAGATTGACGGTTTGTGTGTTCTGAATTATTCTGTATCCTCTGAATTATTTGACTTTAAGGTCATTACTTTTATAATATTTGCCTGACATGCAGTTATATAAAATAATTAATAGATAAATAATTTGGAATGATGACTAGCTTTGTCTAATATCTCAGTTTTTATAAGTAATCTCAGCACACTGCTAAACATACATAAATAAATGTAAATGGGATAAATAGTTATAATTTTTTATGTAACTTGAAATCCTAAATTACATAAAAAATAACAAACAGATACTCGTTAAAAGTAGAAGTCATTTTCAAATATGATAACAACTGAAACAAATTACTGAACATAAATAGGGTTGTCTTTGGCTTCTCAAATTTAATAGAAAGACTAGAAGGACTAACAGAAAGACTAAATATCCATAAAAATGTTATAGGGAAATATATTTTTCTGACAATTATAAAATGGTTCTTGGCCAAGAATGGTGGCTTACACCTGTAATCTCAGCAATTTGGTAGGCTAAGGTGGAAGAATTGCTTGAGGCCAGGAGTTTGAGATTGCCCTGGGTAATAAGGCAAGACTCCATCTCTACAAAAAATAAAATAATTAGCCAGGTATGATGACATGCACCTGGTGCTTCAGCTACTTGGAAGGCAGAGGTGAAAGGATCACTTGAGCCCAAGAGTGTGAGGCTGCACTCAGCCATGATCATGCCACTGCACTCTAGCCTGGGCAAAAGAGCAAAACCCTGTCTCTAAAATAAAAATAAAAATAAAAAATTGAAATAATAAAAATAGAATGGTTATTATCTATTAAATAATAATATGTAACAGGCAATTCAAGATTTTGTGCTTCCCGTGTTTTTAATAAAAGTTAAGGTTACTAGAAGCCAAAAATTCCAATTGATATATAATTCTGTATATAAAGTAATGTGTGCTTAATAAGAGAAAAAAGTTATAAGAGAAAAAGTGTCTTTTATTGAGAAAAAAAATTTTTTTCTAATCTGAATGTTATTTAAAGGGAGTATCAAAATGTGTATTTAGGAAGGAAATAGACACCAGATAGAAAAGATGTAAATAGGAGAGGGAGAAAAAGAGAAAGAGAGAGAGAGAGAGACAGTTACAGATATAAAGATAAGAGAAAATCTTGCATGATAAATCTTTTTCCTAGAGTGACATGACTGGTTACTTAAGAAGAAGAAGTATAGAGTGAGGCAAAGTGTCTCAGTAATCCATAGATGGTCTGAGTATATCATGATAAGGTTCATGAATGGGAACTTATGAAGGAAATTTTGGGTGTGATTAAGCTGGTTATAATTAAAATAAATTATTTGTACAGTCTTTCTAAAGAGTAAACTTTGATGTTAAAGTACACTGATACAAAACTTAAAAACTTGGTGTCCTATGTTAAACAACAAAGAACAACAAAGCTTGGTTTTTTTTTTGAGACAGAATCTGTATCACCCAGGCTGGAGTGCAGTGGCACAATCTCAGCTTACTGCAACCTCCACCTTCAGGTTCAAGTGATTCTCCTGCCTTAGTCTCCCAAGTAGCTGGGATTACAGATGTGTACCACCTCACTCAGATGATTTTTGTATTTTCAGTAGAGATGGGGTTTCACTATGTTGGCCAGGCTGGTCTTGAACTCCTGACCTCAGGTAATCCACCCACTTCGGCCTACCAAAGTGATGAGATTCTAGGGATGAGCCACTGTGACCAGCAAACAAAGGTTTCTTAAAATATTAATTGCTTTTAGTAAGATTGCAAGAAGCTTTATTTTTAATTCTGAAATCTGTTTCTTTAACAACCATCCTCTGAATTACAAACAAGATTCTATTTCTGTCACATTTCTTCTTGAGAACTGCCTAGTTTCTCTGATTTTACTTTTATCCTGAAGTTCCAGAAAAGCAATGTTTTACTCATTATAACTTGATT